TGAGCCGAAACGTACGGATCGATGTAATGTATCAAAACGACGAATAAATCACTTATTTCTGATATTACGCACTGTGATCTGAGTCTGACTTTCATAGCCTTCTCCTATTTTAATCTCGAGGGTCCTCATATTACTTTATTTATTATTTTGACTTTTCTTTGATAAAATTTTATTATGTTCTTTGAAGGAGTATAAATTCTTCTTTTGGAGTACATAGTACATGATAAAAACTCTTTCTAAAATTTGTACATTTTAAAACTATTATCAAGAAAATATTCTTTCTTAAAGACAACCGTTACTTACTAAAAAAAAAAGTAAATTGAGTAATCGCTTTTTTAAGCAGCACAATTGATATTTTTCTGTATGCATGTACACACGTATGTACATACGTACGCACAAAAAAATGTTCTATGTTGTTAGAAAATTTTATTTCTATTTAAAAAAAGGAGAGAAACTATCATCGCTTAGGACAGGGGCCCGGCGTTACGCGCCGCTCGTGCGTAATCATCGCCGCTTGTAGTAAACAACTGCCCGCGCGCCGACCACGGGGCGGCCGCATCTCGCCGCGCGCTTGGATTTGGCGGAGGGCGGGCTAATACGGCGATTTTTAATCATTAATAACTCGTCAACTATTGCGAAAATTGCAAAATGGTACATGACTTTTCGACTCAGTTTGGCTCGCTCTATCTAAATATGAAAAAAGTACCAAGAATTCAGGGGCACCCTGTATATATTAATATAAAACGCCCTTTTATTTCAAAGTCTAACTTTGTGTATAATGTTTTTGTTTTCAGACAAATGAAAGGACTATTAAAAAAAATATTAAAATGCGTACAGGATCGCCATTCCGCGACAGTAAGGGCCCAGACACACACTTCTGCACAACGCATAATGCGTAAGCATGAGAAAATTGATTGGTCCATACACATGTGCATAAGGAAATAGACCAATCAATTTTCTTATGCTTACGCATTATGCGTTGTGCAGAAGTGTGTGCTCCCCGCTTAAAGCCTGCTGGATTTCCGATATCAACATTACAGCAGATGGACGCATTCGAAAACATTGACCAGAACGGTTATTCCGATGCTGTAAGTTAAAAACACTTTTGCCCTCATTAACTCAAATATGTATTTATTATACATTTTAATTAATCTTAATTTTTTTCAGGTAAATTATTTCGAATATGTCGGTGGCTTCCATTTAAAAGAAGCCGTAAATCTATGGTTGAAGAAAAACTTACCCGATTCACTGATGCGGTAATTTACCTGATGAGGCTGAGAAGAAGGACAGCGACCCTTGTATAAAGCTCGTTTGATTACGGCAATATACGGTATGAATTTTTCCACTTTTATTAACAAAGATTTTTAATATTATGTTTCTGATATATCTCATACTTTTTTTCTAAATGCTGTATGCAGGAACCGGCTCTTTCCAAAACCAACGCGATCTGAATTCCAGGCTCAGATGCGGGAGGCTGTTCGCGTTGCGAAGGAGAAAAATCGCAGCAAGATGCGTGGTCCACGCACACGGACAGTCGAGGCGAGAGGGGTCAACCACGACTTTTGGAGAAAGGACAGGAGAGGACAGGAGAGGAAGACAACCCTGAAGAACAAACGTTAAACGAATAAGAATTACATTATTTGTTTGAGGTAAAAATGTCAAAGCCCGGTTTAGTACCTAAAACTAAACATTCGTGTTGTTTTTGCTTTTGAATAGTAATATTTCAACTTTTACATAAAATTTTACATAAAATATGTATACAACAATGTAATGTATACGTATATTCTATGTAGAAAGTTGAAATATTCTTAATTAAAAACAAAATCAATTACAATGTCCAGTTTAACTACGCGTTGAGATATGAAACATTTAAAGTCATTCTACGATACGTCGCAAACGCCTCGTCGCCAATCGTGAAGAATGGCAACGGCTAGTTGAAAATTATTAATTCCGGTTGCGCTTATTGACAGTTACGGTTGTTAAGAAAGTTGAATTTTTGAACTTTTTGGCAATAGCAACTGGCAATCGGCAATCAGAAATTACACTTTTCAACTAGCATGTTGCCATTCTTTGCAATCCTGACGATGGGATGTTTGCGACATATTGCACAATGACTCTAATAGTTTTTAATCTTCTATGTATAATTTACTTATACATTATTTTTATAGTACGTTTTCTCCGCAGGAGAATCTGTGAAGAACCAAGGCAAATGGATTCTAGGAGCGAGGAGAGGAAGAAAAAGAAGAAAGAGAGAAGGAGGGTAGAAGGAGTAGGAGAGAATGATTATGATCTGGTGGACTGACAATACATAACAGACCCCTGTCCGGAAGAAGTTAGAGAGAGAAACATACTTTTCAGTACGTCTTTTTCTTAAAGTCAGGTCCGTCTCTCCTCGTGTGCAGAGCAGAGTTTGAAATAGAAATTTTTCTCCGCGCGCGGACTCACACTCGAGCTCAGTACTGCTATAGTAACAGTATGCGATTACTTCCATATTCAAGTGTACGATTCCGTGCTCTTTTCGTCGGTCGGATTCGAAATTACTAGTCTCTGTATTCGAATTTTCTTTTGCTGCTCGCGATAAGTGCGATTGTCAAGCTGCATTTCACGTGCGCCTTCGTCCGTTATTTCTTTCGTTTGCGAAAAAGAAAAAAAACATTGTAAATATAAACTTTGTAAATAGTCAGTTTTAATTATAGACAATTCGTTACATTAATTTACATTCTAATTCGATTTCCTTTGGACTCAAAAACTCCTTCCCCCATTCGCGCACACAATTGGAGAAAAAAACTGTCTTACGCGGATTATTTGGCGAGATATTACAATTTAAAGTAACCCCTGTTTTTTTTATGATTTTAGCACGACACCGCCGGCATTTACGTATAGGGTAACTCCGATATATACATTGTACCTAAAAAAAAATTAATTTATCGAGTACTATTTACTATGTCTAAGGCAAATAAATTATACCAATAAAAACTTTATATACTATAAAAATATTAGAAATGTGAAATATTTACTCTTTGTATTTAACAAAAAAAAAAAAAAAAAACTTGTAGAGACCCTTCATTTTTGCCATATATTCCATAGGGGTAGGATAAATGATATTCATAGGTGGAATATACGTTTTTGCGAAAAGATTCTCGCTCAATTTTCATTCTTTTAATCGTTCCATCTAAGTATAATTTTATTGGGTATGTCTGTTTTATCCGTCTTTCTTTTACAGTTACGCATCTATTATCTATAAAAAAATAAAATTTGTTATTAATGTGTGTGGACACATTGCCCCATTAAAAATAAGACAAATAGCCCCGACCACTTTTTTCAGTCTTTAGCATATTACGAATTTTTGATTATGCGGGATTAAGATTTGACGCTTCTCACATCTGACAACTATATATTAAATTGATAATATTATAAATTAGGTACTGTCGCACGACAAATTTATCAACCGTCGAACAGTGTTAATAATCGTTTTCACTTTTTTTTGTAACGCATATAGCGTCTGTAAAAAGCATCGCAATAAGAGAACAAGAGCTTCTGAATCTTTTATATTTATATAAAGCTTTTTTCGATTTTTTGTTG